GATATATAAAAGTATTGTCTTTCCCCTTAGCACCAAAATTGGTGCCTGATGAGGCCACCACAAGAAGGCAGGGATAAAATTTAGATGCCTTATTAAATAAAGCAATCCATACCACGGTCCTAAAAATCTTCCAAATAATATTAATAACAAAAAAGTAATCCACCCAGTAAGTGCATTAATTTGCAAGTAGAAACTTGGTAATTTATGATATAAACCTCAAGAGGTGCAATACTACTCCATTTCCCTCTTTCATGATGTGGGAAGGAATCAGCACCCCCCCCCCCTCCCCCCACTCCCAAAAATGGAAGAATATAATTAATCACCACACTGCACACCTGGTTTTGGCAAAACTTCATAGTGCAATTGTTAAGGACATATTTTTGTTGTTTTTATAAATGTTCAGGTAAAGTTAATGTCAAAATTTTTCCAAACTCAACCATTTTCATTTCAAAACACAAAAAGTGATGTAAACATTAAAAAACATTAAAATATAGCCTAATTAAAAAGAAGCACAACTCTCAGAGCGCCTTAAGGCGCTCTGCGCAGTGCGGTGGTTAAAGATGGTTACAGACATTAAAAATAACATTAATTTAATTATTAGAGTATTTATACTACCATATATAGCATTGCAATTAAAAAAGTGCCTCCACACACTCCTGTAACTACACTTTGGTCATTACACTCCTGCAGTCCTCCACATAAGTACATCACCAATGCACAAGACCAGGTGCACAGCGCTCCTTATAAGCCACCATAAACAGCACAAACAAATACATTAATTTCTTTTTTATAAACCTCTTCCACCCAACTTTGTCACTATAGCCCATCAGTTGCTCACACTCAATCCCTATGTCCTCACACTCAACATGTCTGCTTTTCTTCTGCCAGACATTCCTCTTGTTCTCTCGTCCTCAATGTCACTTAAGTATGTTCTCATCACCGTTCTACCATCACCCAGTCACTCAATATGCCCAAACCACCTTGTATTGCCCTTCTAAACCACTATCTTTCCAAATCATTTTTATCAAATTAAATGCAACCCTTCAAAAACTGGAAGCCCCAAAAGAAATTTATAAACCCAATAATGCTGTCTTTTAACACTTTCGCTCATTAACAACACAATATGGTGTAAAAAATTTAGTAGATGAACGCTTGGTAATGACGCAGTATGGCGTCAAAAATTAACAAATTTGGCCAGCTTTCAGCTTGGCTTTGGGAAGGGCGCACTGCGGTTTTGGACTTTATATGCATATACTCATGTAGGGAATTCTATTGTGAACACATTGATACCAAAATGAAAGACCTAGGATGAGAATTGAGGTGACAAAGTTGAAAAGAGAGAACATATTATTGCTCTTGAGCGCTCACGGCTAATGCGATGTCACTTTTCTCTGTTTGCTGCGGGTGGTTTGCTGCGCTTTTAGACTTTATATGCATATACTCTTATAGAGAATTTTATTGCAAACACATTGATACCAAAATCAAAGACCTAGGACGAGAATTGACGTGACAAAACTGAAAAGAGCGAAAACCAAGATTCAAAATCTGCGCGCTCCCGCGGAATGAGCAGCACACCTTAGGGTGGTCTGGCGCTCACTCGCACTGTGAGTGAAAGTGTTAAATACACAAATATAGTAATTAGGAGTAATTCAGTGTTATATACCTGTACAGGTATAATAAGATATGGGATATGTGGTTAGAATTTATGCTAAAATATTAAAATTAAGTTACAATTATTTTTAACAATTTAAATCATTTTTAAATTTCACTATTGTAAAAGATTCAAGTAGATAAATGACTAATGAAAACCAACTGATTTTGCTAAAACCACTTCTTTGGGCAGGATGTATTGGATAAAAAGAAATTCCTCCTAACCTACCCATCAACTTCAGGGAGCTGATACGTATAAGAAATGAACACTATGTGTACTGTAGCATAAAATGAGAAGGGTATGAGTAAACAAAATATAATGAGCTTAGTAGGATACAAAGGTTGACATTGGTACGTAAAATATATGATGGGTATTATATTCCTTTACTGATCGAGTATCTCTGGTGTGGTGACATCCAGCCATAAAACATGGGGACAAAACACCATAAAAACACCGAGTGACAATCCCTCCCTATCTAGGTCTAAAATTTGGCTCCTCCCTTCATTAAAACTGATATGCCCAATTACTCTTAGAAAATTAAAAAAAATATTACTGTTACTATATCAAATGCAATATTTATACAAAAGATATAATGTACAGCATGTGAATGCAGTCACCACATCTACCATGCGATCTTTTGCGTATTTTGATTTTTAAGAACAGTTGTGAGTGATTATAGTATCATTATACTGTTCCTTCTATGCTGGTTGTAATTTCCAACTTATATTGAAATTTAATGTACAGTATATTAAACCTGGAAAGGAAAAGGCTCAAACAATTTTATAAAATAATAAGTGTAATTCCGTAATAAAAAAAAGTAAGGAGTTGCTATACTGTATATGTAACCCTATCATCTTAATGCTTGTTCAAATTTTATCAATTATTAATTTTTGCATTAAATCCAGATTTCTCTGACATTCGATACTTGTTTATTAGACCAGCTCACTCTGGTGAAATAAAAGCGGAGATTCAAGATTAATAAGAATGTCCTTGTGAAAATAATACAATCAGATTAATTATTTATATGAAAGGCATGGCAAGATGATGTAATTGAAGACAAAAATTCATTATACAAAATTCATTGTATAGTAAAGTGAAAATCAAGTAACATAAAACAGTAAAATAAGTAAGTAGTGAAGAACAAATCAGCACAATGTAATTTTGAAAGATGCCTTTGAATACATTTGCTTATTAAGAAATTTATACAAGATGCTGGAGAAGGATGATTGACAGCAGGACTGAAGAGCAACAGATGAAAGGAAATGTTGAGGAGGCATGTGATATGAGCGTGTGTATGACTCGGGAACAATCATGACAGATTAACAAGAAGAAACATTACAGATGGAAGAGAAGTTACAGGAGCCAAAGAAGTTACAGGAGGCAAAGAAGTTACAGGAGGCAAAGAAGATCTTGGCAGCAGAGAAGTTAAAGGTGATAGAAGTTACCGGTGAAAGAGGGTGAGTGTGTTGAACAGGAAATAGCAGATGTGTTGTCATATGAAGAGATGGTAGTGAAGTGTGCAACTGCTGCTAGTGCAGTGAAATATTATATGGTTTCACTCATTATATCACAAATTACAGTTACGGTATATAATTTCAAAAAAGCTTAATGAAAGAATGATCATAAATAATGGGCGACAAACTTTAAAACTACACATCTTTCAATGCTTATACAATAGATAAAATTTTAATCTTGAAATTTTACTTAGACAGGACATCAAGTTTTACTTACCTTACCCTTGTTGTGGGATATGGCATACTTCTGCTAGTGTTGCAAATAGTATTTTACTATTAATTAAAGGAGAATGGCATGCACCAACACATCCATTTCATAGAAAATGAGTAACATTCATTCATAAAATATTTAGAATAATTAAAAGATGTGTAATTACAATGAAAGTATGAAACTTACGGTGCTTAAATGTTATGCATTTAGAGGAAAATCAGTTTAAAAACTAAGAAAACTTCAGAGAGAAACCTGGACCTTAGGTTTAATAAAGAAATAGGTATTTAGCTTGTATCCCAGGAGATTAGTCAGGAATACATCCAATGAGCATGCTATGGTACCAAACATCAGGCTTAAACAAAACTTGCAAGGCTGGTACAAAAGTACAGAATGACTATTATTAGGCTGAAAAACTTTTGTATATTTTCTTCCCCACATGTTTCAGAGTAACTCTTGCTGCACAAAAGCATGTCCAACCAAAATGCACATGCCAAGTAACTGCAATTTTGGTAATTTACACCAGTATATTTTATATGGAATGTAATGCATGGATATATTTCTGGATATGTATTCATTAATTTTATTGTCTATATGTATGCCATAATTGTGATTTCCCAGGTGCAGCACTGCTAATTACCGAATCTTAATTTGATCTATATTACAATTCAATGACTTCTACTAGATAAATATCTTAGGATAAATTGCACACACTATTTTTCTGAAAGCAAACACACCAATTAATAAAACAAAAATCATATTTAATACTATCTACTAAGTGAAAAGAAAAGAAAAATCTTTAAGAATTAAAATTGAATGAAAACAAAAAATTTTCATCCAACACTGCTAGCTCTCTATCTGCAGAGAAGTTTAATATGTAAGAAAAAAGTTAGAAATAAATAAACCTCTGCCGTTTATACAAGAAAGAAATACACATAGCAAAGCTCAAGTCCCGTCAAGACAGCTGGACGACAAAACACCTTGGCAGATCTAACTTAACGGGAATTAGCATCAAAGCCATATTATACAAGGGACAATTTCATAAAAAGCAGTGTCTTTAGAAAATGTAAGTAACTGGATTATAAAATAACAAACACAGAACAGTATTAGTGCCCATTTCATATAAGTGAGAATATTGTTAGTGAATATGTAATTGAATTATTACTGTACATATAAATCTCTCAGCAACATCACAATGTTAGTACACATAATTCAATGTGCCACACGAAGGACAATATTAGTGTGATGTATCTTGTACAAAACATGTTTCAAAATCTATTAGTGATCAATTAATGTACCAAACATTTATGAAAGAGTCCCAAATTTTTACAAAAAAAGAAGAAAAGACAAATTATCCAGTGTCATCAAGGTGAAGCAAGAAACCCCCCCAATGTTACAGGTGATACAGAAGACACAAGTCATGTACACGTGACAAAAGGGGTGAATACTCAAGTTATGATTATGGTTTTAAAACCAAAATCAAAATGCTACAGCTTTACTAACTATGACATGCATTGTGCCTCCTGCTTGCATAAATAACATTAGCATTTCAGTAAACCACCCCCAAGCAGAGCCCAAACTGTACTGCACACCCACACGTTTCCCAGTGTCTGCTGCCTCGACCTACCATTTCTTCGGAGATTGGTCGGTCCTGAGGAGGAGATATTATTAATAGATCAGCATTAATCCCAATCTTAAAATTTCACCTTCGTTTTCTTTATACAACACATTTCAAATAACTACCGAATGTTCTCCTGATAAAAGCTACATGTGTGCTTTAGCTTTATACTGTACATTCTACATTTTTAGGTACAATATGGTATATATAAATATATATGTATAAATAAATAAAATTATATATATTTATATAACATATAGTTTCATCTTAAATGTTCAGTGATAAAGGTGGAAATATTCATTAGCACCAAATTGGCCCTCAAACCAACAAATCAAATTATTTGTAAAGCAGTAGCAGATGTAACAGCCATAGTTTCAAGGCTTGACTGATGCTAGTAGATGTTTTAATTTTACTGTTTACAACATTCAAACTGACATGAACAAAATATTTACACTTTGCTCCAAATTTATTTATACTGTACTAAAAATGTAATAGAAATGTTATTTCAAGTAAAAACAAAATAAGTGGATGCCTATAATGTATTCAAAATTAGTTTCATAAGGACTTTCAGTATTGAATGACACAAAAGTATATCTATTCAAAATAATTGCTTATTTTTTTTAAATACACAATCCCTAAATAAATTCACACGTCCAACAATCAGTACAGTATGCGCTTATTTAATGACTACCAGTTCATCGAGTCATTGGAAACAATGGACAGTTTTGAGACCAGTCTATTACAGTATATTGATCCTACCATGCAGCACTTGCTGTTTGGAATAAAACAGTCTGCAGCCACAATTAAAAATATAAGTGACAAGTCGTTCATTTGATTGTCATCATGCGCTGGTTAGTATATCTTGCTGAAATTATATTTTTGAATAAGAACAACAGTACTCACATTTTCTATTAACCAGTTGCCTACTCATTTAACCCTTAGAAAATGGTTTATGTCATATAACATAAGTAAGCAGACAATCTTCACTGCAATATGAACGTCGTAACTGGGAAGTGCCCGAGACCCACAGGTGGCAGCCCAGCCCACTCCATCACTCTTATTAAGCTACCTAAACTGATCCCACCCCCCCACCCCCACAGGAAAGAAGGGAACAAGGCAGGGACAGGGTGCTACTGAGAACCCACCAGAAAAACTTATCTAATACATTAACGGATCGCTGTACTGACAACTGGGCTACAGGACCATAGTGCTGAACACTGCACTACAGAACCATTGTATTGATCACTGTGCTCCTGACCCACATGGCTGACCAGTGCACTACAGGACTTTCCTGATGGTAATCAGACAGACTGTTTGCTCTGCTGCTAAGCACAGCTTCCATTCTATACACACAGATCTTATCACATTGACATCCTGAAGCTTTGATGAAGAACCAAATGATAACACAGTACATACTACTTAATGACAACACAGTATTACATAAAAATGTCTAACTAAAAATAACTAACTAAAAATATAACTACAAGTCAATGATATTGTAGTTCATTTGAAAATCATGTATTTAGGAAAATATTTAATTACTTTGAACGGATATTTTTCTATTAATGCTGTATTAATTTGATTTTCTCTATCCACCAAATACTGAGGGTACACTTGCAAATTTTGCTAAATGCAACATTCAGTTACGAAGTATCTAGAGTATGAATAAATTTGAAGCCAAGTGTATAGTACTATATACTGTATATGAGAAACTAATATTCAAATTTTTTGTAAGTTTATTCCTTACATTATATAACTGACACTGATTTTTTTTTATCTGTACTTTAAATACAGTATAACTTTCCCATTCATGTATTATTCTTTCATGTTTACTCCCAAATTGTCATTGAAACACAGCTTCGTATTCATCATTACATGATTATTTGCTGTAATTATGGAGGAAGCTAAGAAAGTTACACACATCTTGCAAGACACTGGTGTGGACAAAAATAATACACATAAATAAAATAAAAATAAATAAAAACTGCCACACAATATCTCACATTATACTCTAAATAATGAACACTTATTTCCAGTAAATTTAATAAACATTTTCTCTTGTTAAATGCAAACGGGCTTATCACACCTTCTCTTGGATCACCATCTTATAGCATTACGAATGATTTTTTGTATTAAATATCTGTAACATCACCTTTAAGTGTATAGTACTCTGTTTCTAAACATCATATTTCAGCAAAGTTTATAGAAATTTTCCGAATGCTGGCTAAATAAGTGTTGTATACTGCAACGTATTAGCATCACGGATAAGAAAATATTGGCGAGACATTAGTCTAAAAGATAATTTAAATGATGAGTCTGATTCCATAATGTTGTTATGAATTATGTTACAGTCAAGTAACATATTTTGGATATTACATGCAATGTGATGTGAGATTAATACATTTGGCGTGAGGTCAATACACGTGATGTAAGGGTCAAAGCATGTGATGAGGTCAAAACATGTGTTGCAAGGTCAAAGGATGTGATGTGAGGTCAAAGGAAGTGCTGTGAGGTCAAAGCATGTGATGTGAAGTCAAAGCATGTGATGTGAGGTCAGAACATGTGACATGAGGTCAATACATGTGACATGAGGTCAATACATGTGACATGAGGTCAATACATGTGACATGAGGTCAATACATGTGACACGAGGTCAATACATGTGACATGAGGTCAATACATGTGACATGAGGTCAATACATGTGATTTGAGAACACTACAGTGATGTGACAATAATACATGTGATATTACACAAATACTGTACATGTGATACAGCTAAAACATATGATCAAATCAATACATGTTGTGCAGTGGAACCAATATACTCCAAAATAAAACCATGCGGCATAGCATTTTGCTCATTATGAAACAGTTATACTATTTGTTGATTTAATGTCACTGTACAATATATTGTTCTTTCATTTTGAACACTTGCCACACCAATCTGTCATATATATACATCCATTCTTCAATAAAGATATGGCTTACTTAAAATAGCAGAACAATTGATATTTTGCAGCAAACCTTAAATCAATATAGTGCAAATATTGCTATAAGTCACCATTAATACAGTGTTTATTCTAAAAAAAAAAAAAAAATGCCATTATACTGTAAAGAATTACAGTAATTGTAATTCATTGTGTCGGGGGACAGGAAGTCAGAGGTAAATAAAATACAGTAGATTGAATTGTATTTTAAAAAGGCTTGGTGCCCGCAACTCTTTAACGACAGACACATTAATAAATAATGTGAATAACTTACACCCCCTCACCAGACACACAGTATATACTGTACACTGTTGATTTATTATTTTTTGACATACAAGTTCATCAATGTTTCAGCACCCATATGGAAAACCCACTAACTTAAATGAATATTGGATAATCAATGATAAAAGTTTTACACACATGTATAGCAATGGAAAGCTTGGTGAATTCTTTAATGGATTTGAGCGGAAAGGCTTGTTGTTGGGCAAGGAAGGAAACAAGATACATGCCCAATTTTGTGATATGATGAAGGCATCCAAAAATTTATGCCAAAACAGACACAGAATTAGAAAACTGGATTGATTCAATAGAAAATGTGAAACAGACTAAACAAATAAAATCAATATAGGAAGAGGCCTAACCCTAAAAAAATCAGCAATAAAATCAAGCATGAAACAACTACACATCAGTGAAGAGGCAGAAAGTAACTTTGAGAAAAAGAAACACTGCTCTCCTAGCACTGACATACAAAACTTGACCTCCAGCCACTCTTGAAGTTAAATGCACATGCAATGGCAGAACCACAAAAATAGCTCTCATCCTGTAACTACACTTGGGTAATTACACTGAACCAGTTCTGGGAGGCAACATGCCAACAAATAGGATCAGAATCAAATTCCACAAAGAGAATAGGTGCCCAAAGGAATTTATGAGTGCCAAGAATTGAGACTACAGGACTTAGTTGAGCAATGCCAGAATGTGCAATCAAGTGGCAGAAACATCATGTAAAATCCACTGATAATAAGGCAGGGACTGGATCTCCTCTTGAAAACAATACAGCCAGGGGTGAAAGAATCTATCAAGCAATTAAATGCAGTGCTGTAACTGTACTGATGGAGATTCAATACAAGGCTAAGCAATAAAACAACTCATGAAAGAAGGTTTTAAAAAAAGTGGTTATGTACTAGAAAACTAGATTTTCTACAACCTTGAAACCAGATCTAAAATAAAGTACTCGTCACCATTATGGGATTCCTGTACAGTCCTGTGCAAAGTCATGACACAAAATTCAAGAGTGCTGTGCATCTTGTGACAAGCAATGTTAATATACTTGACACAATGACATACAAACAGACTCAAACACAGAAGAGAAGTGTCCGGTTTGTTTGTGTTCTACAAGGTAGAATTGCATATCCCCCATACCCCCATTAACCCTTAAAATACGTACCCTTAACCCTTATTCATGCGTGTATGTGTGCCCATGTGCAAAAATATAATTAAAAAAATAATGTCCTTGTTGAATGGTTAATTTGTATGTAGAATGTAAGGAAAAGTTTAAATAACATAAATATCTACATATTTACTGATTACATGAGGTGTAGAAGATTGGAGGGTGGCAGAGCCAGCCACAGCTGTCAACACCTGACCTCACGTCTTGCTTTTACTTCATTCACTATAGTATTTGTGCTGAATAACTAGATTTATGTACTGTACATGCAATTTACAAAAACATGGATACCTGTTTGATGGGGTTCTGAGAGTTGTTCTACTCCCCAAGCTCTGCCTGAGGCCACATTGAGGTTACCTTACCTTACCTTACCTTGAGGTGCTTCCGGGGCTTAGCGTCCCCGCGGCCCGGTCGTCGACCAGGCCTCCTGGTTGCTGGACTGAGCAACCAGGCTGTTGGACGCGGCTGCTCGCATCCTGACAGTATGAGTCACAGCCTGGTTGATCAGGTATCCTTTGGAGGTGCTTATCCAGTTCTCTCTTGAACACTGTGAGGGGGATTGCCAGTTATGCCCCTTATGTGTAGCGGAAGCGTGTTGA